ATTGTTAGTTTTAACCATTAGGTGATCTAGGCAATTTGTGTTTCTAGTAGCAAAGAGATGAGCCGGTAGCATGGAATGCGAAGCCAGTAGATTTAGGTACGAATTTGTGTTCTGATCGACGCAATTCGGAGAAATATTTATATTTATGTCGCCAATAATAGCTATGGTTTTAAAGGGACGCAAAGTTATCAATAAAGAATCTAGTGTGTTTGTAAACTTTTCAATATTTCTGTATGATGGCGAACGATAGATAGCGACGATGACAACACTATTTGAAAGTTCTATGGTCAGACAATTAGCATCCGCTATAATATTTGGTTCAACAACTTTTGCTTGTAAGTTAGCTTTTATGTAAACCACGACCCCATCATTTTGGTTGTTGTGCTTGGTATTATGGGTTATGTAACCCGGTAAATTAGGCAAAAAGGAGCACTTGCTTAACCAACACTCTGATAGCACGATAATATCCAGGTCAAATTTGATTCGTTCTAAGAGAATAAGCAGGTTATCAAAGTTAATAGAGTTTCCTATGCTTCTTATGTTGACATGAAAGACTTTCAGGTAGTGATTCGGATTGGTAAGAAAATCTGATGTTTCTTCGGGTAAGCACAAATATGACCTACTTAAGGAGACACTATCAATCTCAGAGGTTACATATAAGTGATCATCCATAAAATTTGGAGAAAGAATTACAAAATAAACAAGAACAGGAACACAAAACATATTTACATATTACGTATTCCGTCACAGTAGCCAAGTTATTTGGGTGATTTGCAAAAATAGGTGTGGCGATTATGTAGATTAATATTAAGGGTAAAACCTTAACCTGTAATGTTGCTAACGAGATCAGTGTAGATGTGGTATTAGTGAAAGGTACAAGTGTTCTTTCGAATTTAGTGTTTGTGGAAGTGTCCAAAATTGAACATGTTGGTGTGTTTATTTCGATACTATTCATGATTACACTATGTATTATATATGTAATTCCAAAAACAAGCCATAGAAAACAAACAGATAAGTCACAGAGAACAGAAAAATACAATATGTTGTAGAAACCTGTTATATCTAGTCATTTATCTTTGCTGCATTTAGAATATGCTGGAATTAACTAAATTAACACCAATCTAACCATGTTCTTGCAAATAAATGATTTTATTATTATTATTATTATTATTATTAATGGTTGGGAAACGGCTAACACTCAGCATCATCATCATCACCACCTTCATCATCATCATCATCATTGTGAGACCTTTATTGTCCGGACCTGTTTGGATGGAAAATGGCTCACTGACAATTTGTCATCATCATCATCGTCATCATCATTATGGGAACTCCACGTTCGCTAGATATCACCAGCTTGCTCCAAGAAGAGACTATCACCACCATGATCACGAGTCCGAAGAGTATCTATCCCGGGCGGGCACCGCGCACCCGCGGCCCGTGGTCTCTCGGGCCGCGCCGCCGCTGTCCGCGCAGCATCGGGCGTTGCTTGCTGCTCATTTGGCAGCCGCTGCCAGCCGCTTAGCTGGGAAACGACTTACGCACAGGTGAGAGACCAAGATGGTGACGTCATCATCATCATCATAGGGACTGCTCAAACTTGACTAACTGCTCACTCACAGGTGATGCATCATCATCAAGGACTACTCACTCAACCTTCAGTCACCAGTTAGAAAGAGCTCAATCACAGGTCAGTCTCTTTAAGATGGTGGTGATGATGATGATGACGTCATCATCATCAGCATTCTAGACTGTTCATGCTTCACTGCCTGGGTTTCAACATTATTTAGTCATCATCATCACTATCATCATCAATCATCATCACCATCATAAAAGGAGTAAATATTCAACCTGTCAAAGTTGGTTGGGATTGTTGGGAAACGGGATACACAGCCTTAACATCATCATCACCCCTTCATCATCATCACCATCATCATAACAGCAACTCAACATGCCTGGATGTGAAATGGCTCACACCAAAGTCAGTTTAGGTCATCATCATCATTGTCACCATCATCATCACCACCCTACTCCTACTAGAGACCATCAGTCATCATCATGAGTCCGAAGAGTATCTATCCCGGGTGGGCACCGCGCACCCGCGGCCCGCGGTCTCTCGGGCCGCGCCGCCGCTGTCCGCGCAGCATCGGGCGTTGCTTGCTGCTCATTTGGCAGCCGCCGCCAGCCGCTTGGCTGGGAAACGTCTTACGCACAGGTGAGGCACCAAGATAATGAAGATGATGACGTCATCATCTTCATCACCACCACAATAGGGAGACAATTCAACCTTGACTGGATGGATTTCATTGCTTTATCAGGAAAAGGCTTACGCACAGGTCAGTGCTCATCATAGATACTACTTCAGTGGTACTACTTTTCTAACTAGAGGGGTTTCATTGCCTGGCTGGGAAACGACTTACTCACAGGTGAGGCACCAAGATGATGACGTCATCATCATCACCATAGGGACTGCTCAAACTTACAACTTGACTGGATGGATTATATTGCTTTATATTTTCTTGCCAGGAAGGGGCTTACTCACAGGTGAAGCTTCATCATCATCATCATTATAGACTACTCAACCTTCAGCCGGAAAGAGCACACTCACAGGTCAGTCTCTAAGATGATGATGATGACGTCATCATCACCATCATAGAGACTGTTCATGCTTCATTGCCTATATGGGCGATTGCAACATTGTTTAGTCATCATCATCACCACTCATCATCAATCATCATCACCATTATCAAAGGTGTAAGTATCTATAAAAGTTGGTTGAGAAAGTGAATACACTCAGCCTTAACATCATCATCACCCCTTCATCATCATCACCATCATCATAACAACAACTCAACCTGTCTGGATGTGAAATGGCTCACACCAAAGTCAGTTTAGGTCATCACCATCATTGTCACCACCATCATCACCAGCTTACTCCTACTAGAGACCATCAGTCATCATCATGAGTCCGAAGAGTATCTATCCCGGGCGGGCCCCGCGCACCCGCGGCCCGCGGTCTCTCGGGCCGCGCAGCCGCTGTCCGCGCAGCATCGGGCGTTGCTTGCTGCTCATTTGGCAGCCGCCGCCAGCCGCTTGGCTGGGAAACGACTTACGCACAGGTGAGGCGCCTAGATGATGACGTCATCATCATCACCATAGGGACTGCTCAACCTTGGCTGGTTGGGTTTGATTACCCTAACGAGATACGACTTACAGCTGAATTTGCGTCTTCATCATCATCAACAACATAGTTGGGTTAAAGGTGGCTGCGAAGCGACTCTCTTGGGTCAGTTATCATCATCATCACCAAGACCCTTATCATCATCACCATTGTAATTACTCTCAACCTATCTGGATCTGAAACGGCTCACGTACGTGTTAGTTAGGATCATCATCATCATCATCACCATCATAAAAGGAGTAAGTATTGAACCTGTAAAAATTGTTTGGGAAAAGGAATGCCCTCAGCATCATCATCATCATCACCACCTTCATCATCATCATCACCACCTTACTCCTACTAAAGACCATCACCACCATGATCACGGCAACGGCTTACGCACAGGTGAGGCACCAAATGATGATGATGGTGACGTCATAGTCTGCTCAACCCTAACTGCGTGGGTTTCACTACTTGAACAGGAAGCGGCTCATTCACAGGAGGAAAACTACTTACTCACAGATGAGTTTCATCATCATTGTCATCATCGTCACCATCATCAAGGACTGTTCAACCTATCTAGATCTGAAACGACTTACGCACGTGTTAGTTGGGATCATCATCACCACTTTCATCACCAACATCAAAAGGAATATTCAGTCTTCACTGGTTGTGTAAGTTTAGTGATAATGGTGACGTCATAATCATCATCGCCATCACCATCCTATGATAAGTATGATAATAGTCTAGTCCCTATAATCTGCTCATCTAACACTGCTTGGGTTCCATTACCTAGACCAGTCTTTCCCAAAGTGGGCGATAACGCCCCCTTGTGGGCGCTGCAGGCTTAAAGGGGGCGGTAAGACACCCAGAAAAAAAATCGGGACGTTGAGTAGAGGCTTGGGAGGCGTCATCTACTAGGAGGACTCTTAGACATCGACTGAGCTCGACTTCTGACTGCAAAAATGGGGGGCGCTAAAAATAATTTATTCTCAAAGTGGGCAGTAGACTAAATAAGTTTGGGAACCGCTGACCTAGACGAGAAACGCACACGCACAGATTGAATCTTCATCATCATCACATCATCATTGTGACCGATCAACCTTCAATGAGTCGCCAGCCGAAAAGCAGATCACTTATAGGTAAGTCGCGGTCATCGTCTTCATCATCATCACAACTTTTATCATCATCACCAACATCAAAAGGAGTATTGAACCTTCACTGGTTGGGAAACGGATTACATTTAGCATCATTTAGTGAGTTTGGATCATCAGCATAAAGACTACTTCAGAGGCACTCAAACTACCCTAGATGGGTTTTATTGCTTGGCTGAGTAGCGGCTCACTCACAGGTATGTCGGGGTCATCATAATAGTCATCGTCATCTAATAATGATGACGACGTTATCTCTAACACCATCAATTCTTCATCATCAGTAGTACAGTAGAAGCCAAACTGTATTGAACTGTAGATCCAGGCCATAAAGAAGTGCGAAATAGCGGTGGAATTTTTATTTATTACATAGAAATTAGTCAGATATTTATTACATAGAGCAAGCCACGAAGTGAACCGTCAAGGCATTTGAATTTTATAAATGGCCTTATGAATTTAGTATACTTTTCCTTTGATTTCCAAAATCTGTGGCCCAACGTCGCAANTTATTTATTACATAGAAATTAGTCAGATATTTATTACATAGAGCAAGCCACGAAGTGAACCGTCAAGGCATTTGAATTTTATAAATGGCCTTATGAATTTAGTATACTTTTCCTTTGATTTCCAAAATCTGTGGCCCAACGTCGCAAGTCTAAGAAATTTTACTCATCTGGAAAATCGATTGGGCAAGCCTGATATACAGTCTCTCTCAATGATTTACACATCGCTCGGTTAGCGCGTTCTTTCTACCTTTATGACGTCGCTTGTCACTTTGTAGCCTCCACTCAAGAACCTTGCTGCCCCATCGGCTGTCAAGTCAATTCTGCGTACTATGTGCCCTGCCTATTACCACTTCTGTATTAATCTGTCCCAGGTATTAATCTTTCAAATCTTTCAAATAAATCTTTGAACAATTTCACACAGCGCCAGCTAGCCCCAAAGTAAGCAACTCAATGCTTGTGTTATGGGTGCTAGCTTAACGGATATACTACTTATATACTTTTTTTTTATTAAATACATACATATTATACATATTTACACCCAGACCCGTCACAGAAATTAAAATTCATCATTTCAATTTCTGCCCGGCCGGGAATCGAACCTGGCCCGGGAATCGAATAGGTATTAATAAATATTCTGTACCATCCACAGGGATATAGCGGCTCGCAACTGCGTGCTGACTTCCACTCTGACGCTCAAGCTGTCTTACCCGGCGCTCTCAAGGGGACCCGACTCGCACGAGTATTACAAACACCATGAACAGGTAACATTTATACTTAAACTAATTATGCCCGAGACTTCGTACGCGTGAAAATAGTGAATAATTTTTCAAATCGGACCAGTAGTAAAGAAACAAACTCTTCAGCTTTATATTATTAGTATAGATTTTAGGCTGAGTTGCACCACCTAACTTTAACCGTAACTGTAACGATAACCGGTGTTTTTGTAGAGTTTGACAGATTTTTGACGTTTGTTAAGGGTGCAACCCAGCCTTTGCAGAAAATTTTAGTAAAAATACTTTAAAAACTATAAAAGCATTTAAAAAAAATGTTTAAATTTAATTTTAAATTTTACGCTTGATTTCATCCCTCTTGCATAGCTCATAGTTAAGAGGTCGAGATAAGGCAATTGTTTATAATGTCAATTTGTCATGAGCTTTTCTCAAAGCGCTAGTGATGACCCCAAAAATAAGGAGACCCAAAAAATACAGGCTACCATTTTAATTATTTGACCAAATCGTGATTCAAATTGAAAAAAAAAGATAATTGAATTTCTAATCATATTATCTCTAAACATCACTGAATGCTCTATATCAGGGTTTCCCAAATTTTTTTTTGCCAAGGAACCCTAATTGATTATACTTTCCTAGCGGAACCCCCGTACTACTCCGCCCGCACGCCCTGCCCCTCCCTTGTGCGTAAACAAGTCGGTGCGAGCGAACAACGTCGGTCACGAAACGTGGGATAATATTTTTTTACGGAACCCTTGCGGCCTTTCCACGGAACCCCAGGGTTCCGCGGACCACCATTCGGGAACCGCTGCTCTATATTAACCTCACTCTTCCCTCTCAGGTGATCCCACTGCGTTGGTTGCCCTCCGAAGCTGTGTTAGAGGGAGACTACTCCACCAAGTCCGACGTATATATGTTCGCAGCTACGGTCTGGGAGGTAAGATATAAACTTATTTATAAGTTAGCTTACGGGACTATTCCCACCTCTCGTTCCCACCGCTGCAACTCCTGTATAGCCAGGATCTACAGCTTGACCGCCATAAAAACCCAACCAATGAAGGTCAAGTTTGTCCCGGGGAAAGTGTCATTGGACCCGCAACGAAATTAATCAGAAGAACGTAGGAGGAGTTCGAAATTAAGGTTCGTCTTCCCCCCATTGCAAAGCGGATGACAGGTGACAAACAAGGGTTTAAAACCTTTAAGAAAAGATTATGCACACTTATAACTTAGCTTATTTTTAACCTGTTTGTTGAAATTAAAGTAAAAAATCTCAAGTTGCTATTTTTATTTTGGTGGACCCACAGAATCTGAGTTTGGCCATACAACGACTATTCCCACCTCGTTCCCACCGCTGCAACTTCTGTGTAGCCAGCATCTACAGTTCGACCGCCAATAAAAACCATACAAAAGAAAATTACTTTTCCTGTGCTCCAGAATATCAATACATAATATTTTTGTTTCATTTACCAGATCTACACAAAAGCAGAGCTTCCGTTCTGCAAGCTGAACGACAACTCTGTGCTGGAAAGACTTAAGGCGGGCTCGCTGGACTGGCCGATCCCGGAGTCGATGCCCGAAGCGCTCGCCGACTTACTCGTAAGTACAAGTTGAATCGACATTCTTTATTAAACATTTACTTTTTCTACATTCTCCACGATCTAAAATGGGATCGGCACACTCAAACATTAGCGGAAGAATGATGGGGCGCGTCTTCGTGGGTGAAACGATCTATAATGAGTTAACGTCGTCCACTCAACACACATGTCCTCCAAATTATGAAAGTAAACCTAATATACTGACTGCTCTATCAATACACAGCTCAAACCACTGAACAGATTGCTCTGAAGTGTGGCGTTCTGATATGATACACCCACTAAGTAAGAATTTTCTAAAATACGCAACCAAAGGCGGAAACCGCGATCAAAAGCTCGTTCGTCATGAAACATTTTGTCATAAACAATTACTTGCGAGACATAATAATAGAGTGTGACGAATTTACACAAGTTTACCTTGTGACGAGTTGACAATTCTACGTTAGGCTGGTTTTAGAGTCACGCTGACGCACGCTGACCGTCAGCGCTGACAGCCGAAATGTATGAAGCGTCGGCGCCGAGCGATCAGCGTCACTCAGGAACGTTCCCTTCAATTACATACTTGATCTGTCAGCGCCGACGATCAGGGAACGGTCAGCGCGACTCTACATCCCGCCTTAGAACAATGAGATACATATCAAATAAAAAAAGAAGTAAAAAAATAAATCAGATACTTACATATTTTTTTCATTTTTTCCTCAGAAACGTTGCTGGAGCAAGTCACCAGCCGACAGGCCGCAATTCTCCGAAATTTGCGAGGAGACGGCCGCCATATTGCAAAAGATCACTACCGACAGCGCTGCGCAAGCTTCGACGGAAAAAGAAGAAAATGAACAATAGGTATGCATTACAAAGATAGAGACAGATTTAGTATGACAGACTTATGCCCGTTTTCACCATCAATTCATTATTTTTAGGTGACCCCTATGACAGCAAAATTCTTCTTATTTGTTACCATAGGGGTCACTTAAAAATAAGGGATTGATGGTGAAAATGGCCATTAGTTGTTTAATTTTTAGCGTTAAGAGTCGCATCTCAAACTAATTTGAAAATTATGACAGACTTTTTTAAAACTGTATTTAAATTATGGAAGCGAATTAACCGTAGGTATGCATTACAAAGAGAGAGACAAATTTAGTATGACAGCCTTTTTTAAAGCTTAAAAAGGCTATTTAAAACTAAGGAAGCGAATGAACAATAGGTGTGCATTTTAAAGAGACAGATTCAGTATGACATAATTTGTATTTAAAACTACGTAATTATAGGTCGCCCAGCAAGAGGGGAGGTGATCAACATAAGCTAAAATTTGTATCAGTATATTATTATTATTATGTCAACATAAAATTGTGAACTCCGTCAGTTTATAATATCACGCGTGAGATTGTAATCTAACTTGAGATTGTAAGCCACGACAGCCGAACGGTAAAGGGGTCGGACTGGCCGACTCGTAATCCGGTGAACGCGTGGAGTAATTTGTGTTATAACAAATTACTAATAATCTTTAAAAAAAACTATGTCAGATTATCATCTGGCAAAATTCATAATTTTACGGTGACATAATATACTCCCGTCACGTTGACATCGTGCGTAGTCACACTGAAAAGTGCTTTCTGTCTCGCTTGCAGACATTTAGCAAGAGCGAGGTAGCTAGTGTATTCGATGTTTGAACGTGAAATGTTGTGTGTTTTGTATTCAAATATTACATTTCTTTTTTCTTTATTTACATCAGTGTGAGTCTGACTACCGTGTTTGCCTCAACTTTCGTTGTGCGACCTATAAAACTATATCTCAAGCACTGACCGAGTTTATGTATTAGACGTATAGTAAAAGTCGCGGGAAACACAAATTTTTCAAAATGTCTCCATAGATTTTGTAAAGCAAAGGTGACTCAATTGAATAACTTTTATTGATTTAAAAAAAAGTCGTTTAAAGCATTTTATAACGATATTTATGACTTGGAAGTTGAAATTATTGATCATTGAGGTTAGATAACTAATAACTAAAAGTATAATCATAATTATTTATAGTTTAGTTTTAGTGATAGAAATGGATGGTCGCGGTGGCAGCCAGCAGATATACTTATTTAATAGATATGTCAACGTGAAATTTTGAACGCCGTCATTTTTTAATATAACGCGTTAGATTATAATCTAACAGTGGATTAGGTTAAGTTGGATTGTAATCTCACTTCGTCAGATTATAATCTGACGAAATTCACAATTTTACGGTGACAGCTACATTTTCTAAAGTGAAAATGTCTGTATGTAGATTTTATTTGTATTTTATAGTTAGGTTAGTATCTTGTAAAGCGAGTCGAAAGTTAAATTAGTAGATATTTATATTCTGATGATGATTATTTTATGTGTTTTTTAAATACAAAATTCGATTATTTATTACACAAAAAGTAGATTTTAGGCTTGGATATTTTAATAGGTTTTCTGCATTTATAAAATTTATAAATTATGGGCACTTTAATTCGTATTGCTGGTTCAATTGAACATTTATATTAGAATAAGTTAATATAAAGTTATATTTAGACTGACTGCGTATTTCAAAACGTCTTCTGTACTGTGCCAATCATTTTTCCAATCCGGTAGGTTTAATCCGAACCCATTTGCAATGTTTTTAAATTATTATTACATTAATTTAAAAACAATTTAATTCTACGACCTCGTAGATTGGTATTTCCATTTAAATTGTATATTCTTAATAAAAATAGTTTTAGTGAAGTTAGTCTACACTTATACATTAGTCTAAAATTATACTAAGCGAAAACTAAAGCTAAACGATACTGCCATTATGTATATAAATTAGCATCTAAGACTGAATAGCTATTTAGTTAGCAATTATATTATACATTTAGTTTATATTATATGTATAACTTTCGTCCGAAATTGATGTAATATGTACGTCCTGATTGAATCGAAATTTTTAGTATAAGAATGGAATATAAGTAATTGCGTATATCTAATAATTTAGTCTTAGGTCTGTATTATAGTGTAATCTTTAAAACTTTATTTACTCTCAATCTTAGACGTGTCTAGTCGAGAAGTAATAAAGAATTTTAATTGGTTGAATTTAAATATTTAAACTAATCACTAGACAACATCTATTACTAAGATTGAACAAAGTTTTGAGTGTTATTTTGCAAGACAGATCTTAAACTTTATCGAACTTAAATTGATCTTAAAGTTTATGCTTATATTTAGTTTAGAAAACAAGACTACATATTTTGACCAGTGAACAAAACTTTAAAATAGTTTTAGTGCATAGAAACACACGATAGTTTAAACTTTGATAATTTTGAGATTTAATAAGATCTCAATTTGTAATAGAAAATATTGGGAGAATATAACTAATACAGAACCAGATCCTAATACAGAGTAAAAACAATTTTCGATGAAACTTATATAACCTAATAAAATTGAAAATAAATTTCATTTGATTCTATTTAAGCTTATTTTGATATCTTCAAAAATATGTGTATAAATTTAAACTAACTTGTACATTAAATTAGGTGATACCAGACGATGCATTTATAGCTTTTAATTTTATTAATTAACATAGATAAGATAGTGGTTTCTCATTCTACCAAAATATCAATTAGATCGAATTAACAGTTAAACTTCAACCAAACCAACGCGTGCAGTGGGTCTAGACAAAGTGCAAATAATAATCGCAAACCAGTCGAAAAGTGGTCGAAAAGCCCCTTTTTTGTATGGAGTTTTGACGGATTCTATTTTCGATTCGATCAAAAAGTGCGTTTTGTCTAGGGGGGCTGATCACCATCGCCGGCGCGATCAAAGGCCAATGACAGGTCGCGTGAACTGTCATAGGTGTGGTTGAAGCATTAGAGGATTCGTCACACTGGATGCGTTTTACGGCCTGCGATCTTGTCAAAGTGAACGCAGCCCGCATCATGTAGGTATTAACACAGAATAATAATAAGTACTACGTACAGAAGTTTTACTTCGCGAAGGTATTTAAAAAAATGTATGCTCAATGTCATTAACAATATGGTGTAATTTAGCCTGTCTCAAGAGTCAAGCACCATTTTGTTAACAATCGTCAGTGATCGGCACTGCGCCGAAGCTATATGGCTGACTTCGGTAAAATGATGTGACGTGAGGTGCCAAACTGCGGAAAATGGCGGAGGAAATACATGATTTAGCATGAATTATCATGAATAATATTAACTACTTATTTACCTCTCAGTGTCTTGAGGCAACTTAAAAAAGTACATTCTGTGTTTTTATTATTATTTAGGCAGTTAAATACTGCACAGTATTTAGTACACCATTTTCTTTATTTTGTTCCATCATACACAAGAATACGCGTGCGTGAGTCAATGTTCGCTCGTATGTGAGGCCTTGTCGAATAGTATCCTGTAGGTGGGCCATCGTGCGTGTTTTGTTTTCGATGTAAACTCGCGGAGATGAACAGGCCTGGTATTAACAACATTTTCAATCTCTATACATCCTCCTCTGTGGTCTAGTGGTAAGACCACCTGCTTCAGACGCAAGAGGTCCTGGGTTCGATTACCAGTGGGTGCAGATTTTTCTGTTCGGTTTGGTTGGTGGTAGGGCTTGTTCTAAGTCCGCCTGGCTAGCTACCACCATCTTACCTAAGTCGCCATAACAACAATGTTAACAGCATTATTGTGTTCCGGCAGTTAGAGGTGAGATAGCCAGTTCCTCCGTGGTTGAGGATTCCGGGTGAAGCTCGCTTCCACCTTCGGCCTGATCATCACTTACCATCAGGCGAGATACAGGCCAAGAGCTTCCTCGTTGTGAATAAAAAAACATTTTGTATTGATGCGATCATTGGCCTGCCTATCTAGCTAGATTATTAAATAGAGTAATTTTTCAGCACCCTAGATTTTCTCCTTCTAAAATTTGCTGGAATAGGCACGAGAATATTGACAAAATGTTTTTTCAGATTAAACTGATAATTTGGTCAGATGCTAAGAAACCTGTTTAGTTGTAAGTAATCTCAAATGTATTGGAATCTCAGTAAAATCTAAGCTTTGAAAGACTGTTTCAAGTCATTTTTAGATTTATTATTAGTAAAAGGCCTATGGCAGGCTTAAGTAAAATTAGTAAGAAAATCCGCTCTTGCAACAACTGACAGACGAAAATATTATTTTTAATTATAAACAAGTGGTTAAAAACCACAGTAGGTTAGGTTTTTGTATTTCAGCTTAGTGCCAGTTAGTGTTAAATGTAAGACACTTTTGTATTGAAAAGACTTCAGTCAAAATGAGAAAATGTAAAGTTGTGTGTGTGTGTTAAGTGTCTCCAACACTTTGTACGTTTTTTTATCTTAAACTAAAGCCCGGTCCGTGAGCACGTAGAATTTTGTCCAATGACCCCTAGCTACCCATCCTTATCGCTCGCGCGTTATATTGCTGTCGCGACTGTGCGACTGGCACCCGCAGTGAGTGTGCGAGCGCGACAGCAACATAATTACGCGCGAGCGATAAGGATGGATAGCTTGGGGTCATTGGACAAAATTCTACGTGCTCACGCACCAGACTATAGTATTCTTAAAGAGATGTGTGAAAAATGTGTGTACATGATAATGTTAATATTTCGGGCAGCGACAGTTCGGCGACTTACGCCCGTATTCACAGACATTACTATGAGGTGTCACAGTGCGCGTGAACGCACAGGGTGACACACGAACCAATCACAGAGCTCTATTCAACGCTGTGTGTTAGATTTGTTGCTTCACTTAAGCAAGCATCGTTTGTGAATACGGGTGTTAGAAACGACGACCGCGGCCGACAATTTCATATATTTTGTTCAAAGCTTCGCACACTTAGCGTCAGACTCGCGAAGTCACGACAAACTAATATCATACTCGTATAAAATTAGCGGCCGCCCGCGACTTCGTACGCGCGAAATCTCAGAAACTAC